TTGGAAAAAAGCATTGCGAAGGGCATAAATCCTAAACAAATGAAAGGATTTGCAATAGAGTGAACGAATATATCGTTTTTTAGAGTCTTTAAACAACCGAAGAAGGACGATTTTAATAAGCAGTTTTTGAATCCAAATCGTTGGATTCTGACGTCCAATCCATTTGCTGGACTCATTATGGGCTTTTAAATGCTGACAATTAGCAACTCAGGAGTTTCCCATAGATATTAAGTGAGCCTTGATAGGTCTTTCGCAATTTTCTGTCGTTATCCGAATTTTTCTAAAACTTTATTTGTTCCACTTCGAGTAGACCATGAGACCATGTTTGAGCCCTCCGCTTTCTTGGACGAATTGAGAATGAACTCATTTAACAACTGTCTCATTTCTTAATTTCTGTGCGCATTCAATTATATAAATACGTTTTGCGTATGTATAAGTTCCATGACGTACACTCAGTTGGTAAAATTCTCAAGTATTTCTATTTGAAGAAAGAAAAAGCATTAGTTAGTCATAGACAAGCAACATAGTTTTGTTCTTTTGTCAATAACGATTTCCTATTTTATAATTAAAAAAGTGAAGGTTTCTCTTTCTCTCTCGTAGTGATATAAAACATACAAGAGTTAATAACTGGCTTAACATTTCAGCAACACTGCTACCATGATCATCATGTTTTTTTCCAGTCTGATACTGTCCACTTTGCTGGCGTATAGTGACTCAAACGACCATGGTTTTTCATATTTAGAAAATATTTTACATAAAAGACAAAAACGTTTGGATTTAGGTAAATATATCAAGCGTCAGATCATCTGAGTTTTCGTTTCGTTAAAATAAATTTTCTTACTTTCTAGAGACAAAATGTATCAATGACTACTCTGTTCGTGCTCCCTATCAACTTCCTCAAGGGCAATCACCTGTGATTTATCCACCCAATGTTACAATGGTATCACCTTATTCGTCTTGTGCTTGGGTACCTTATACAAGTACTACAAATCCTCAGGAACATTGTCCGCCTAGTTCACAAAACATTCTCACACCATTTATTCCATTAATGTTAAATCCAGGTTTCTTGACAACAGCAAAACTAGCTCAAACAATGATAGAATACAGTGTAAATGATCATGATTCAACCATTATACAAACACAATCTCTATTAACTCTTCACTGTACACTGAATTATTTTGATTGTTATAGTGATGCGGAAATAAAGATCATTCAACAAGTACTAGAGAATTATAAATGGTCAAGCTTTGGACTAGGATTAAATGAAATTGGTTGTGATATTGATACCGTACAAGCATATGTGACGGCTGAAGCTGACTCAGGATCAGCATCTACATTATGGGCTTTCGTACGAGGAATAGAATCGGCTATTAGTGCTCAAGGTGTTAAAATAAAACAACCAAGAATTGAAAAATTTCATATGACATTAGCTACAGTTAAATACCAGTATCCAAGTGATTGTATCGTTTCTAAACTAAAACAAGACTTACTACCATTTTTTCCATCGCATGAATTTGGTTCAAAAAAAGTTTGCTGTTTTTGGATCAAACAAGCAGATGGTGAGATCAAAAGATATTTTGCACAGGACTGTTCGCTTCTAGAAAGATTGACTTGTCGATAAGTATTAAAAGCATTTGTACTGAGACTATTTGACCTTATTATTACTTGTTTTGTTTGAGAACTATATATAATCAATGAAATAGTTAGGTTGATGAGCTTAATATATATCACTCGTTTTTATTTAATAGCAAGATCAGAGTAGAGTTTTGACTTCTTCTGCTGATGAAGAAACGTTTCTTTATCAGCTCTACAATCCTGGTTTATACAGAATTGTAAATGGAATACATTCAGTAAAGGTTCATTTAAAAATTTTGCACAGTTGTGGTCAGAAGTACCAGCGAAAGAACTTATCATATTGGTTGTAACAAAGTCATATAATATTAGACGCTATGTGTTTAAGTGCAACAACATAGTGACTTACCTTTCAATTAATTTAAGGCAGAAAGTTCCAAGTTGTTTCCATTTATTTGCTTGTCATCAAGCAATCATACTTTACTTTTATCTTTTTTCTTTCTTTACCTAAGTGAAACTTCTTGTAACCAAGATCTTAAGAATGTAGCCAGCCAGGATTTTTTAGGTCTTCTTACACATTTTGTACATATGATCTTGGAAAAGTTCGTAAGGACAAAGCAGTTATCAATATTTGAGATTTGAGTCGTGACCGCCATATATACAAGGTAAATAAGATATCCAATAATACCTGTGCTTTTCATTAGACTCGGAAAAAAATCTTAATTTAAGCTTTTTTTAAATTTAAACGAGGACATAATTTAACAATCTCAATTACCTTTTACAAATGGATAATGTTAACACGTCTATAGGGTTATATGTATCCACACCAGAGATGTCACTAGTCAACAAAATCATGACCGGTACCGACCGGTTATTGGTGACCGGCGAACATGTGCAGACCTTACGTGATCGGCCATTTTTCAAAAAATTTTACTGATAAGCGACGGGTGTTTTTTGCTTTCTGTTCGATATAAATACGCTTTTTTCTGTCATATTTTCTAGTTATAAGCCAAGTCGACCGAACCCGATTCAGCAATTTGACCGGAACCGATTCAGGCGGCCGGTTCATAAG